AGAGAGAGAGAGAGAGAGAGAGAGAGAGAGAGAGAGAGAGAGAGAGAGAGAGAGAGAGAGAGAGAGAGGGGATTTATGTCCAAATTAGCTGATCTTCCCCACCCAGGGCTCCCACCAGTGGCCCCTGCCTCCACCTTCCTGGGGCCCTGGCTCACCAAGGGTGTTGACAAGGCAGACTCCACACATATCCAGGGCAAGGAGCCGGGTGTATACGGGACTGCCTCCTTGGTGGCACATGAAGAGGTGATACAGCACAGAGGCTGCAGGGGGGACCAGGCAGGCCACACAATGTGTACCTCCTAGCCAGCCATCCTTGCCCAGCTGACTCCAGGGCATGGTCATTGGCACCAGCACCAGGAAGCCCAGCAGAGCTAGCCCTAGAAGGGAGAGTTATATATCAGACACATTCAGCATAAAATGTGATCCGTAGAAGGTACCAACTGGAGCCAGGAAAAGAGCTTAGTCGGTAAAAGCTGTTAACCCTGACAACCTTAGCTTGACCCTGGATCATGGTAGGAGAGGACCAGTCCGCACAAACTGTCTTCTAACCTCCACATTCCTGGGCACTCCACCCGCCCACTCATACACTAATATATGTTAAAAATAAAAATAAAGTAGTCTGACTATGGAAAACAAAAGAAAGTTAGGGCAAGGCAGAGTTCAGTGCTGCTGCCTGTCCGCCTCCCCGCCTGCGCAGAGGTCTTGTGGGCTATAAACTTCCAGAAGGGTTACTGTCAGGATTCCTGCAGATCGAGGAAGCAGAGACAATAAGCCCTACTTTGCAGGTGCAGAAACAAGCTTGGTGTAATCTGTCCCAGCTGAGCCCAGTGAGGAGGCAAAGGATAGGGGAGGATGAACCAGGCCAGGCTAATTCCTGGCTAGAGCCACAGCTCCTGCCTGCCTCACAGGAGGCCAGACCAGCTCTGTCTGCCTGTCCTGGGGTGTCTGCAGAAACCTGGAGAAGCATGACCTCAGCCTGAGTTCTGATTAGGACAGGAGGGACATATCAGCCTCAGGGTTACTTAACATTGTCAAATGTCCAGGCAGACGGAAGCTTTGGGTCTTTTTTGATTTCCATAAAGAAAGAAAGGCAGGGAAGGCCAGAACGAGGGGAAAGGACTGGAGGAAGCCTATCCTGTCTCCACTGGGGTGCATGCTGTTCCTCCCAGCGCTGGCCTTTCTTGGACTTTCCTCCCTTCCCCACAGGCAGTTGGCATTGCCTTAATAGAGGACAAATGCAGGCATCAGCCCCACTCTTGGTGGGGGTCTGACTAAACAATAGCGCTCTTCCTCTAGAGAAAAGTTCAAGTCTAAACCTAGCTGGCTCTAGTTCCCTCTCCCAGCTGGGGCGGCTCAAGGACAGGCCAGGGCTGTGTCAGCAGAGCTCCAGGGGCCCCGCAAGAAGTGTGTTGGGGGGCGGGAGGAGGGTGGAATTGAGCCACCAGGCGGAGCCCCACGGTACTGCTATGGTCGCGGGGACTCTAGGCTACCGCGAGGAGGGGCTTGGGTCAGGCAGGGGCGGTCTTCTTCTCTCTGACTCCTCCTAGCCAGTGAACGCCCATCTCCAGGATGAGCGCTGGAGGGGGAGGGTGCCAAAGGCGCAGGATTACCGAGGGGGATACCAGGGTTCTTACCCCTAGAGCTCACCCGGATTAAGCTGGCTCCCACTCTGCTCCCCTCTCCTCCTTGGGGCACTACTGGGAAAGCAGAAGCTGGCAACGAAGCTTGGGACAATGGCAGCTTTGTCACCGCGGCGCCTGACCCAACCAGGGCAGGGACAGCTCAAGACTTGGGCTTGGGGGGCTGCTGTGCTCACAGGCAAGGCGGCCGCGAATGCAAGAAGCATGAATCGGGGCGCGGCTCACCTACCGTGTGTGTAGATGTTGCCCAGCTCGTTGTGTAGGTAGAAAAGGCTGCGCAGGCAGCCCGAACCGCTGCTGGCCGGCCGGTAGCCGGTCAATACGAACTTATTGAACTGCAGGTGCGGCGGCGAGCTCGCCCAGTCCAGAAGACGCGGCCCGGTCAGGAACGCCATGGCCTCACGCACTGCGGCCGACCGGCGACCCTCTGCCCCTGGGCTTCCTTCTCAGTGGAGCTGCAGCGCTGGGAAGCTCATCCCAATTCACCTCCGGCTGTCCGGTCGCCCTGCCGGGGTCAGCCTGGGGGTCCCGGCCCCCTTCCCTCACGCGCTGCGCACGCGCGAGTTCGACGCCCCCGCAAGGGAGAGGAAGCTGGCAACCCCACAGGCGGAGCTCAGTGCATTCAGCTCCACCGTGGCAGAGCGGCGGAGGGAGAGCTCCGGTTGGCCGCAACGGCAGCCCGGCGTCTCGCCGCAGCCCGGAGGACGGGCGCGGCCGGACGCCGGAGGGGACAGCAGGCTCCACCCCGGCTCCTCGCCCCCGCCACCCTGCCTGTGTTTCGCGCGCTGGATTCCTGACGTTCACGTAGCAGGGACCAATGGGCGATGCGGACGGGGATGCTCCGCCCTGAGACCGCCCAGGCCTTCTCTTTTTAACATATGCGGTTCCAGCCTTCTTTGCACGAAGTGGCTGTTGACTTGGGACGCGACGTTCTGTGTCGGGCTCTTCCACTGGAGTGGCCTAGCGCCTTGGGTCTACCAACATATCGCACCCCAGCTTTCTTAGTGACTTCAGGTTGTCGCACCTTTGGGGGCACCTACCTTAAGTACACAACCGGGCTACCCAGCTCTAAACCTACAATCAGACTCTGTCCAAGGTGCTGCTGGCTAAGGCCCCCTTCAGATGAGTCCCCAGCAGCGCCGGCGCGTACTCACTTTGGGGGTATATTTCCGTTGGCGGGGAACCCACGCGTCTAAGATGTATGGTGTACCTGGAGCCCTTGGCGAGGCCCAGCCCTTCCGGCCAGGCTGTTTCGAGCTTGGGTTCCACCCAGTTCACTCCCCTTTATCGCCCACAAAGCACACCCTTAGCCCTGCCCAGTACAGGCAAGGAACGGGCAAAGGCAGGAGACCAGGGAAGCAAGGTCGGTTCTCTTCTACTCTGGCAGGAACAGGGAAGGCGCTTCTCCCTCATAAAACTACCCAAGACCAACTTCCACATCTCATAAAAAAGCTCACCGCGTGAACACCCAGCATCACACCTGCAACCCCTGTCCACACCCTATTAACATAGGTTCTTCCTCACGCAAATAACTTGCTGAAGCGTCTACCAAAATAGGCCTTTTATTTTAAATCTATACTGAGTCTTTAGATCACTTTTGTTGGCCCCTAACCTTTCATCGAGGGCAGCAGTCCAAGTCCCCAAAAGAGGCGCAAAGAACCCTGAAACCAAACACCATCCATCACATCAAGGTCCACGAATTAGAGTGTTGGATTCCCTTTGCCCTTTGGCTTCAGCCATTTGGACCCCAAGGGTCAGGCCAAGTTCCCAAATAGCACCGGATGCTTCCTGTCCGATTTTCTGGTCTCCCCGTGATGACCAGAGACCGAGTTGCCTTTAGAGAGGGCACAAGGTCGAGGTAGGGTGCTGCATAATATCTCAGGTGTCCATCTCGCTGGCAGAAGTGGTGATGGACTCACTTACGTCTGGGGTCAGAGGGCAGAGACGAGCGAGCGCAAGGAGCTCTGGCTGGAGGCACTCAGGGGCCGGTAGCCCGCAGCAGGACCCTCAGCCTGAGAGTCCCCTGGGGGAC